AGCATGTTGGGCCTCAGTCGACAGCGACTCGGAACCAGAGCCCTGTCCCTCCCCTCGCCGGGGTCGCGACCCCAGGCGGTCCCTGTGTTGTGGTTAAGTTGAAGTACAGTGCAGGTTGCTGTTGTTATTGAAGCAGAGTTCAGGCCTTTGATGCTGAAACTGATGTTGAACTTTCAAAGAAAATGACTTCATATTATGAATTTCTTCCCTTGAAATTAAGAAAAGAAACTGTGGCCTTTTATGGATTTTAATTTATTATTATTGACTCACTGGAGTCTTGAGGTATTATGCTGGGGTCCTCTGATTGCAGGAGTGTGCAGGATCTTAACGTCGCATTACTAGCACAGAGCGACGGGGTCGTGTCAGCGGCATTCCGAGGTGGTGATGTCACCGACTTGTCGCTCTACTGGGGACTGCGGTATTGTGCCTGGGCCGAATGGACACGTGTCTGTCATTATGTCTTCAGGATCGAGAACTTGCTTGCCCGCAGATTTATGTGATGGTGTTTCAGTGCTAGGTCATCTGTAGGCCTCACCATCACCCGTGTGTCTGCTTGTGTCTTCAAGGCTCTCATGGATGGATTAGCTGTCAGGCACATCTGAACAATCTTCTGTGTCCATTTTCCGTTTATAGGTATGGGTGATGCGGGAGGGGTGCACACGTCAGGAAGTAATTTAGCCAAAGCGTCATACCTGGGGAGGCCTAAGCAGAATAATTTGAAACTGCTCATGCTTCCTGATAGGGAGCTGTTCGGTGTTTGTCAGAGGGAGCCGGCGGGCTTAAGGACGTCGTAGGTTCATTGGCCTGGTCTCCTGGGCATCATTCCAAAGGGGTCACAGTGCCAGTCAGTACTGGCATCATGTAGTTTGCCTGTGTGGTTAAACCGGTCTATATGCACACCCCAGCCCTGACCAGAACTCCCCCAAGAGGAGTAACTGTTTCAGTGGGACGTCACGTTATGAGCAGATGGGAACTTACAGAAGGGTGGCATCAGAGGGCGTCTCTCCAGAGATGGCAGGACTGACCGCGGTGCGGCCGTGGGAAACGGGGCTGAAAGCAGCGCAGATCCGCCCAGCGTGATGGGCACAGTGGGGATCCGGCCTCACGCTTTTCTTCCTCTCTGCGGCTCCTGTGGCAGTCGGGGTTTGGCTCGCGCTGGAGCCGTTTGATCTACGCCGGGTCGGGGCCCCGGTGCCGGCTGGCGGTGGCTCGGAATCCGTGCTTTTGGTGCCACCTTCATGCAGTCAATAGTATTGGCCGGAAAATGGGATTAAAAGCGGCGCGGAAAAGCACGTGTGCTTGTGAGTGTTGATTTTACAGGCTTCTCTGCCTTGGCCGGCAAAGACAGAGAGAATCGGTACCTGGTGAGTTCATGGGGATATTAAAAGTATCTGAAGCTTGTGGTTTACTGTTGGGAGAGGTGAGCGGGAGCAGAGATGGGGCGCAGAGGTGCACACCCCCAGCCCCGTGTCCCTCGGCCCACCTGAGGGTTTTCCTCCAGTGCCTCTCCCACTCTCCATCCGTCCTCCTCCTCTCATGTTCACGGTGGACACAGGCCCCCACTGGGAACCCACGCCATACAGCGTCTCTTAGCATAATTGCCTGTAAAAACAGCTGTTTTTTGCCCTGGAAATTTTTCATGTTTTCACTTCTGTTTCTTTTTTAAAAATTTTTGGAAAACGGGAAACATTTTTGTGCATTTTTGGAAGACAAAAAAAAAAGGCGTTTGCTTCAACGTATGGAGCGCATACAAAGTGGCCCATTTCCGGTTACACGGTGTCTCATAATCAAAAGCTGCAGCTTTATTCCGTTTGTTCCCGAAAATGAGGAGTTGAAGTTGTGGCCTTCTCCATTTGCCAGATACCTTATTTCAAATATTTCTTACCCAACACAATTTACTGTAACAAAAGACATGTGGAGGAGATATCTCTCTCTCTCTCTCTCTCTCTCTCTCCCCCCATTTCTTTTTTTCCTTCCCCCTGACGCGAATGCTTGGAAAATCTTACATTTGTATCGAGCGAGTGCAAAAGAGTGCACATCCTTTACTCATTAGCTGGATGGAGGGGCGATTCTGGCGCGCGACGTGCATGGAAGCCCGGTACTGCTTATGTACGGATCTCCTTTTTAGCCTTTGATGACACTGTTTAGAATAGGAAATATCTAATAAGTCAAGCATCCTTTTTAATGTGCTGCCAGTGCGTTTAATATATGCCTGGAGGTCTGAAACACTATCTACAGCCCTGCAATAATATACATTTAATTCTCAGGAAGGGAAGGCAGGACGTGGGAGAAGCAGCTGAGAGTGCAGGCTGAAGTGTTGTAATGGGAACCATCTGTGAGGTTTTTTTTTTTTTGCCTGGGGGGGCGGGGGGGGGGAGCAGGAGGCGAGATAGGTGTTCAGAGAACTATTCCCTGCTGCACATCCATGGCCATGTTAGTGCACAGAAGCAGCTGATTAAAGAAGGAAACATGTATCCCCTCCGCCCCCCCCATGCATGTTTGTGGGGGGGTTATCACATTCCTGGCCTGTAATGGGCATCGGTTACTTCCTTGTTCACAGTTCACATGTTCTGCCCTGTGTCCGGCCTGGTCTTTTATCTTTTAAATGCTGAGACAGTCATTCTTTCAGCTGGATCTCCCCGCAAACCGGGGGTGTTCTGGTGTCGGGCATGAGTGTGTCTGGCAGGCAGCTCTGAGTCCCTCCCATAATTCTTGGTTTTGCCTTGTTAAACATAAGGATGGTCACTAAAGAACACCTCTGTCCTCTATGACGCCATACCTAGTGACCTCTGTCCTCTATGATGTCATACCTAGTGACCTCTGTCCTCTATGACGCCATACCTAGTGACCTCTGTCCTCTATGACGCCATACCTAGTGACCTCTGTCCTCTATGA